TTATATAATATTTTTTGTGTGAGACAGGTTAGTGTACTTTCATAGTTAAACATTTTTATGAACAAGATAACTATACTTATACTAATTAGGCTTCAATAATATTGAACTGGGTAATAGATAAAAATGAACACTATGTGCAAAAAGCATCTCTCTTTTTTGCAATAATGTTATATATTATAAATGGTTTTAGTGTAACTGAAATCAAGCCACCTGCCTACAATCAAAGGGTGTAGCTCTAATTTAAATAATGCTAGTGTGGTTTGATAGTAAAAATTTTTCAAATGGTGGTAGGAACAACCTGACCTTCAACTTCCAAGCAATGATGTCATCATTTGTAATTACAATCTTTTGATCCATAAGAAGACTAATATGCACAGAGAAGTTGTATGAAGCACTAGTGTGGCCACTGCTGTAAATACTGAGTCTGCTTCTACTGTAAATATTTCAAAAATTGGGAGAAGTAGGAAATAGATTTTTAAGAGGCATTACGATTTGGAAATTAAGATTAAGATGTGGAAACCTGTCTAATCCTGCAAGAAATTTAATAATCACCATCTTTTTTCATATGTCCATGAGAAGGTTAGTGGTAAATGTGATCGTGATGGCATTGTAACACTTTCTGTCCTTTAAAACCTTGTATGCTGAGCCAATCAATCAACTAACAAAGCAAATTAATAAGATTTGCCAGGATGTAAATCAGCATAGCTATTTTTATAGTCCACACTAGATGAGTCTAGTTAATCCAAAACCTGAGTTTATCTAACCTTTTAAAAAACTAATTTGGCTATTCTGGACATAGAAAACATAGTATATTTTCTTTATCCTATTCTATTCTATTTCCTTTGCCCTGAAACAAAGGAAATGGAGGATGGAAAGTCCTCAGTAACCATTTTTAAAAATCAGAATAAGCTCCAATTATGTAATCCTTGTGACAGTTTCTCATGCAAGTTGGAGGCAGGAAGGAATATTGTTAGAGCATGCTGCAGTTCAGTAATTTTTAGCTGCCAGATGATCCCTGGAGCCTGGTGTTATCTGACTTCTACAGAAACGTCTCAGCTTATTGCAACTTGAGCCAGGAACTAGAAGAGAATGACGGCCATAAATACTTCCCTGTTGGCCCCATCTATAGCACCAATCAGAAACTCAGCATGAGACCTAATCTTTCCTAGGTAAATTTGGTAGGTTCTCAAGTTTCCAAGTTCTTTTTGCCATGAAATGTTCCACTGAAACTTACAATATTACTATGTCGGTGACCTAAAGGGGAAAAAAAAATATGTTTGCTTTAGTTTTGTTACCAGAGAAAGAGAAAAGGAAATGAAAACACAATTACTGTATCATTTAATTACAAAAGAAAATATATTCAAATCTATTCTTAATGAAACTATGAGTACCGTATACATAAACAGAGAAGTCACCCAAATTGGTTGCAGGAACTAATTTGATGGCGATATTCTCTCTCTGATGGAGCAGACCCAGGTAGTAAATCATTATTGGTTGCCTAATGGGAAGATCCTACTGTGAAAATAAACAGCTGTCCACAATAAAGAAATTGTTTACAAGAAACCATTACATGTCAGACACTTTATTCCCTTGAGAAAGGAGTGAAGGCATGAAATACTGAGCAGCTGGATTTTTTCTGGGATGTTTATTTCAAAGAAAAATATTTGGATTTTTTTTATTGCAAAGCTTTATTTTTAGATTTGAAAAGCATGATCCTTTTTTGTATTACCACTTTATTTTGCTTGGAAGGAAAGACTGCAACTGCTCCTTTTTGAGATTGCTGCATATTATGTATGTTCCTGAATTGCTTATAGTTGTATGCACACATTGTAGCTGGAGGAGTTCTTCTCAGCCCTATCTAGTGGAGCATACGCCAGCCCTGCCTCCCCTCAGGAATATCTTCCAATAAAATTTCATTCCAAGAACATCACTCCAAGTCAGTTCGATGCTTCTCAGGTGGGACTGTAGGGCAAAACCTAGTCTTCAGGGACCTGTCATTGAACAGGGTTGACAAGAAGTCTTTCCTGTGGAAAGACCAAAATCTTGCTTGTATAACTTGACCACTCTGTTACCGTCTTCTTCTGCATATTTAAAGTGTGGGTAAACTAAGCCGAGGTGAATATCGACAAGCCCCTTCAAACAGAATGCAACGGTGGGCAGAAAACTCTATTTGTCACCATCAGCACCAACCCGTATTTGTCACCATCTGTCCTCTGAGTGCTGCATCTTTGAGATACTCCTGCATCTGCAAGACTCCCTGATTTCACTTGCAAGGCTTTCATGTGCTGAACAGCTGAAGGGCGGCTGTGCTGAAGCACGGCCGCACAGGCTCCGCAGCGACAGAAATACGGGGACGGCTGAAGTACCGGGGGGTTGTGTTCTTCATAGGTTTAGCTGCTGCTTGGGGGGGGGGATGTTCTTTATAGTTTTATCTTTTTGTCAGTCAGTCGTTCTGTTCGTCTCTCACACCAGTAAGTAAATAAGGGCACTGAGTACACTTAGCTAGGCTCGTGTGGAACATTTCTCACTCCAGAAGTTATTTCTTAGCTTTGTAGATGGTGCCTGTATTGCCGCGTGTCTCAGCAGTAGTATAGTCCCTTGTCTGGTATTTCCACAAACACAGTGCAGGGCTCTATCAAAGCAAGTCTCTGTTTCCTCAGTCAAGGAGGTTCACTGATAATTATCTATTGATGAGTCTGTCCATAGAGTGAAAGAAGACGATATTTCATATTCTGGAGCAAAAGAGGATGAGACTTTAAGCTCAGTTAAGATGCTCCTAACACTCATATTTAGCCTTCATCCTCACTATGAGATTTCCAAAGAGTATGGCAAGGCCTTGGTGGGGTGTCTGGTCAAATCCCTGTCCCTCCTTCGATGAGCTAGGCTATCAAATCACAGGATGCTCCTTCACATGCTGCATGTGAACAGTTTTACAGTTAGATACCAGGTCAGACTGGAAAGCATAAGAGAGATACAAGGCTTTCCGGAATGCCATCCAAGTTGTTCCGTGTCAGGGATGTTATTATGAAGATTCACTTTAAATTCCTTTCTAAGGCTGTGTAAAAATTTGTTTGATTGATCATATTACACATATGTATTACTTTCTGAATTAAATTAATTCAGATCCAAGATTTCTGCACACACTTGTGATGCAATGATTCAGGAAGAGCCCTTCTATGTGTACAGACTGCATACCTAAAGGACCAGCAGTTTTGATGACATACTTTTCAAAAAAGTTGGAATTGTCTGTTTCTGTGACAAGGAGGGTTCACTTTGTCAGACATCAGGTAACATCTGAGGTTATCTACAGGATGTCTGCCAAGCTGCCACCTGAACATTTGTTCACACGTTCATTAAGCGTAACAGTATTGCTGAAACATTCCAGCTTGGTATTTGCTTTAGAAGAACAGTTTGTCAGTCTGTATTTGACTAGAAACTTTCAGGCCTCATCCAGATATGTAGTGTTTCTGCAGGAGTATTTCTTAGAATCATCTATGCTATGAAAGTATCTCTAAATTGGAAAGGCCATAAAGTTTACATTCTTGCAACTATTCCTCTTTATCCTATGTTAGCTATGCTAATGTAACTGGGTATTTCCTTCCCTTTGATACCTCTGTTACACTTCCAAGAATTCTTTCAGGTCAGTAGGACTGGAAGGGAGAAGCTTCTGTCCTTGCTTTCACAGAGGCATTTGTGACTTGTGCAGATGGACGAGCTCATGTGTGCTCCTGCAGAAGTTGGTTAGGCAAAAATCCTCCAGCTTACAGCACTGGAGCTACTTTTGTTTATTTGGAGTTTGGCTTTTTCTGGAGTGGATTTGCCCACAGAGTGAAAGCACATGTTGGAGATCCACCTCAATTACAAATAAATAGGCTTTCTTCTGTGAACTCTGCAGGCTGTCAGTTGAGACATGAGATTTGAATGTAATGGCTGCCTTAATGCAGAGCTGCAGGTGTTATTAGCACATTTAGGAACATGGAGCACATGTCTTTGTGACCCACAAAGAAAGGTACTCTGTAAATTCACAGACACCTTAAAGACCATCATAACTATGCACAGGCAATGGCATTTCCCCCAGAATATGAACTAAAGTATTTCTTTAAAAATACAGTTCTAAAGGCATGAAGTAACGTGGAGATTTTGGCCTCCTGCTACATCATTCTGGTGCTTGGTTACCATCACAGCTGGGAAGCTATGCCTTATTTCATAGTCCTCTCTATCCCCTGACCTGATTTTCACTAACTTTACATTGTTCAAGCAGCATTAAGAACACTTAAAGAAGGTAAGAATGATATTTTAAGTCCCTTTAATGGTCCTTCACAGTGCCATAAAATGGTAACAGCATCACAAATATGTCCGAACAGCAGTTTCCTATGTACCTGCAGGTATGTAGACGTTTTTAAGCCAGCCGTAGGTTATCTAGCTGGGATGCTGCTAGAAAGGTAGCTATTGCAGTGCAGAGCTCTATGGAGGATGCAAATTTCATCTGTGAAGCTGGGTATATTTTTGTGTAATTAATCCTTGTTGATCAGTTGCTCACCGTGTCCAGGGAAGTTGTCACTGGCAGCTATTAGCATGCTCTACGTCAAGTATGGGTTTATATAACTTCTTGAACAGGGTTGTATGTGTTAGGATTTTCCAGGATGAAATATGAGTTACCTTATAAAGCTCCCTTTCAAGTCGCCCCTCTTATAGTGATAGTACTTGGATTCGCAATCAGTAATTCAGGGTAACAAAAGTAAAAGATTTGTGTTTGGTTTGTGCCTCGTTTTATTTAGGTATTAAGAGAGTGCTGTATCCTGCCTTAACACAGAATGAATGTTTGAGCTGACAAAATAAGTGTAGGTATGCAATATATTCCTTACCAAATACATTTGAATTATAATAGGTTTTGTAAGTTGAAATAGCGTTCTGAGTAGCTTTCTGTTTTCAAAATAATTTTTTATTTTAAAATGTATGAAGTATTTGTAAGTTCACATAAACGCTATTTTTATTCACAGATAATGCACCTCAGGTAGCAATTACCGCACCGGGATCTGGTAACCATAGAAACAGCTCTACAGGCCCAACACCTGACTGCTCTCCTCCATCACCAGACACTGCACTCAAAAATATAGTGAAAGTTATACGTCCTCAGGTAGGTGATCACCATAAGCATCCTCTTATTAGTTGTATTTTTCATTTTAAATGCAGGCTATGATGCATGTATTCTAATGTATGTTATCACTATACACGTATGAATAAGTCGAAGATAGGTAAACAGAACACAAAATAGTTTTTGTACTTAGGAAGCAATCTTGATAGCAGGAGAAGACAGAATATTTTATGAATGACCCCAACAATGTACAGAGAGACATCAGTATGTTTTTCTTACAGCATTAATGATGAATGAAGTCTTTATGCAATATTTTGTATTTTTATGCACTACTAGTTTTCTTCCAAGCTTATGTTCTGTTTTTATCAGTAATAATTCCCTGTTACTTTTTCATGTTTTCTTTCCTCTTTCTGTATCTCCATTTACATGGTCCCATAATGTTTCATACCTTCTTTAGTTTACCTTCTCGTATAGCGTTTCTTCCCAACTTTCATCCTTCCTAACTATATGTATTTCTAATAGTGTTTGGTAAACAAGATGCTTAATGCATGGAAAACTTGAGTGCCCCTTGTAATTCTTTAAGGAGTACAGCCTTTTAAAATAAAAGCTTTAAAAAAATAAATCTTTGAACTTGATTCAGTAGTATAGAGGTAATCTGCATAGAGGAGTTTAGTTTTAGAATCACAGGATCATAGGATAACATAAATCAGAAGAAACCTCAGGGGATTATCTAGTTCTCCGCTTAAAAAGGCATGACAGTAGGTATGTCGAAGCTAGGTGTGACAACTACACTCCGAATTGACTAATTGTGAAGCTTTTTTTGGTGTGAACCAAAAGAACATCTATTCCTCTCCTACCAGTCATTGGGTTCAAATGCAGCCATCTGTTCTTCATTGCTCAGCTGATCTCTGCAACTGAGCTACTTTGATGCTGGTGGATGCGGGCTTTGTATCACCAGTATGTTGCTGGCATTTGTTTTACTTGAGAAGTAAGCTGATGGATACATGATATTTGGGAAGAATTATATAGGACAGATTGTTTTATTGCTGCACAAGTGAGCGTGTTACAGTGATGAGGTGGATCTTCCTTTCGGTACTCATTGGAGCACACAGTTCAGAAGGTCCTGCAGAATTAAAGGTAATTACTAGGTGCACCTGCCATTTCTCTGTAGGAGCCATTGGTTTCCTATGGCTGACACTGTCAATGCACAATAATTCTAATGACTGGCTGATGCAGACCATCCCTTTTTGACACTACAGTAGTTTGGGTTCCACATCCTGGTTTAAATCTAGATTAGAGGGGGTCTAAAATCACAGCTTCTTCTCCTTTTCTCTTTTTATAGTTGTTTCTCATTTTGCTTGTTCCTGTAGTCTCTCTGTCCCTCCCACCCTACATCAGTATAATACTGAAATGCCTCCTTCCCTCTAAGCTGTTTTTTATAGTAGGCGGCAAGCAAACAGAAAGGTATTGGAATATTGTTGGAACAAGCTGTCGTGTGATAGCTTATTGAAAATAGCATTTTAAAAGCTGTTTCCATCATGATTTTGCCAACAGATGGACCCAGAACACTGAATGGTGATGTTCTCCTGCTAGTTAGCTCTGAATGGATTCAGCAGATTCCGGGGAGCTATTTTCAAATTTAAATCGTACCATTCACTGACTCCCAGTATTCTCATCATTCTGCAGAACAAAAGCTAGCTGTGCGATATATATGGTCAGAACTTTACCACATTTGCTAAAATGTCTCTCATGTGGACCTACATGTGGCATAGTTCCCATGCAGAAAACGACAACAGAAAGGCATGTGTAGGCTAGTGCTTAATGTATGTTGTAAATCTATGCTATGCATGAGAAGTTGGATACACTATAGCATTCAGGTCCCATTATGCTTCTCCTTTCTCCATGTGTTTTATGCACATTCCTTCAGTATTCTTCCTTTTCTTTGTTTTTGTTGCTTACCTAATCGCCTCTCCCCAAGATCTCAACCTGGGAATTTAGACAAAGAAGTCGTAGATATTTGCAACGTGGTGTTTGCAAACCATTAGTGTTAATTCTGCCTGCATATTTAATTCCTTTATTCCATGCCTGCTGCATTCAATTACATGGCAAGCTCTTTGAAGGTTAACCAATGGGATTCTATTCTTGACTGACCTCTCACCACTCATGTAAAACTAATGAACAGTGTTACACAATGCATGCAAAATAATTAATGTTGTCTGCCAGAGCCTCTTTGCACTTTCCTAGCAAAGCAAACAGATTTTAAACAGATCTAAAACAGGGATCGTATAAATTTCCAAAACAGCTGTCACTCCTTTCCCCTTTTCATATGTCTTGTGCATCCAGCACAGGAAGGTGCCAGGGAAAGGCAGAATGGGAAACTCTTCAGCAGCCAGTTTTGCACTAGGCAGGCTTTGGTAGCTTGGATGAAACTGCCAGGGAAATCTGGCCTTTCAACTCCCATTGTTATTTTCATTTATAGCCTTACTTACCTTTCCTGGAGGGTTGTGCATATAGCAGTTTACCCGCAGTGAGGAGAAACACTGTGTTTCTGCATAAGCAGTGGCAGAGGGGACCAAAGATTCCTTCCTCCCGCCAGTCTGGGGAGGGCAGGAGGTGGCAGGGAGTGGAAAAAGAGAAACCTGGAGAGCCGAGTTTGAAGGCGGAGGTGGGGGACATTCCGCCTCCTGCTTTCTTTGGCCTTTTCTTTCTAAGACCGCCTGCCAGCTCACATGATGGCAGCGCATCTGCACGCTTCAGCACACGACAGACTTTGAAGACATTTGTATGAATGTGAGGTTTAGCGCAGCACCGTGGGCTCTCCTCTCCCCTGTTCCAGATGCTCACACGTACCAAAAACAGCTCGGGGGGGCACTAGAGGTGTCTGCTCCCCCTGCTGCGGGGGGTCCCTGAAGAAGAGGGAGGCTGTGAAGCTGCACGGCCAGCCCATGGGGTGAAAGGACCACGGCTGGGAAGTATGAGACAGGAACAATCCCATACACAAAGTGTGAATCCTGAGGGGTCTGGGTCATGGACAGTCAAGGGATTCCTCGGAGTGCACTCAAAACTTGTTTTGTCTTTTTCCTTCTAGTTGTCTCTTAACCTGGCCATAATTATTCCCCTTCTTATATTAAAAACATGCCATCACAAACCTGGCTGGGAATTTCTATTTTCCCCCAACCTTCCACTCATTTTTCTGGAAATTTATCCTTTCTTCAGTTAATCATGATGAATTTTGAGGAGAGAAACCTGCAGTTTGTTGTGACCCTACCACTCATCCCTTATGAGATCCCATTGGTCCCTAAAATCCATCTAAAACTCTTTGGATATGCCTCAACTATTCAATTCAGTGTACCATTACTAAAGCTGAAGCCTATTTTAACTGAAATGGTGTCTCCCTGGCACGGTGCAGCACTCTGGAGAGATACTCCGATCTCAGCAGCAGTATTAAGTTCAGTGCCCCATTGCCACCCACCTCTAATGCTTCCAGTCCTGAAGCTAGCACACTTAACAGCAATTCAGGGAGCTGTGTGCTCTTTCATCCGTGTACCTTAGCTACGGCTTGTACCTGTGATCTCACATTTTGCAAATATGTGTCTCGTTTTCAAATTTTCACAGGGTTAGTCTCTGAAAAAGAGGGTTTGTTGAAAAGTTACATATATGCAGATAAGAAACAGAATTTAGTTCAGAGTTTGAATCACTTGATATTTTTTTCCAGATATCTTCTGTCCAGACAAGCCTTAGTAAGATTTTAACTCATGAATTACTAATTAACGAAGACATTAAGGTGCTGCAGCGTGTCCAGAGAAGGACAACGAAGCTGCTGAAGGGTCTAGAGAACAGGCCCTGTGAGGAGCGGCTGAGGGAACTGGGGCTGTTTAGCCTGGAGGAAAGGAGGCTTTTGGGAGGAGACCTTATCGCTCTCTGCAACTGCCTGAAAGGAGGTTGTAGTGAGGTGGGTGCTGGTCTCTTCTATCAAGTAACTAGTGATAGGACGAGAGGAAATGGCTCAAGTTGCACTAGGGGAGGTTTAGGTTGGGTATTAGAAAAAAATTCTTACTGAAAGGCTTGTCAGGCATTGGAACAGGCTGCCCAGGAAAGTGGTGGTGTCATCATCCTTGGAGGTGTTCAAAAAATGCGTAGACGTGGCACTTCAGGATATGGTTTAGTGGGCATGGTGGTGTTGGGTTTACGGTTGGACTCAATGATTTTCAAGGTCTTTTCCAACCTACATGATTCTACGATTCAGGTTAAAGACACATGCCTCTGTGAAGTATACTAACAGCACATGGGAGTGAAAATGAGATGTGGCTGGAGACCAAGTATGTTAGTGAGTTAACTGAAGGCCTCTGTAAGTTTAAGCTCTCTTTCAAGTTTTAACGTAGTTACGTTAGTACATATGGTAAAATATAACTTACCTTATCAGACTGGAATTTTAGAAAGTAATAGTAAAATTGAGCTTGTTCTACCACACTTCCTGTAGCTGTCAGTCTGGATGAAGCCTCAACAAAATTGGACTGCATGTGATGCTTCACCTATTTTTTGTATTAGCCACTCAATTTAATAAGACTCTCCTTACTTACTTATTTATTCAGCTCCATTTGAACAAGTAAACTATATACATAGAGGGGGAAAGAGCACCTTTTTTCCTAAGGCTGTTTCTTTTGCCAGTGCTATTCACTTGTGGGTCATTGGCCAATTCTCATAAAATTGCATTCTGACTTCTCGCCTTTTAAATTCTTTACTAAATGTAATCCAGCATTTGCATATTCTTTTTTTGTCTTTCTAAGATAGGTTTCAATGGCTAACTGTAGGTACAGCTTTTGATGTCTAAATGTGGATTATTTAAAAGTGACTTGGATTTTATCTATCATGAATTAATATTGTCCCCATTTTATGTGAATAACCTAACTCCTTAAGAGTGTTATTTCAATGATATAAAGAGGGCTTCTGGTAGAAAGACAAAGGAACAGAGAATTTAAGTGTTTCTGACAATGAAATTTCATTATCTCGTTCTTGCTGGCTTTATTGCTAAGATTTGTAAT